ACCTTCCATGTCTCCTTGGCAGAATGTGTGCCCTTGAACATGAACAGCACTCGGGCACACTTGCCCTGGAAGGATTGAGACGCTTTAGAGGTGAGCGAGACTCTGCCAGTGGGAAGCAAGCCCTCAGAGGTGACGTGTTATTAAGCCGGTCACGGCACTGCCTCTCATTTCCCTTTCATTCAGGAACACGGGGACTTCAGGTGCCTGAGGGGAAGACAAGCACAATGTTATGACATCCTTGGGAAGATGATGTTGAAAAGAGCTGGCCTTTCTATTTCAGAACAGGGCTCATCTGGAGATGTTAAAGGATGCTAAAAATAAGTACACCGTGAGCCCTGGGAGGCTTCAGCCAAACCCAGGCGTCTTTGAGAAGGCCTGTAGATAACAGCAGCCAACCTGTAGGCATTGTGGCCCTCTACAATTTTCCAGGGATGAAGGTAGGCATTTTTGAAAATTTCTGCATCATTTACTGCCCCACAAAAATTTTTCAACAGGGAAGAAACTATTTGTCCAATGTTGATCTTGAAGGGCATGGTAGGGATAATACAGGGTATGGGAAGGACATAACGAATCCAAATTTAATACCCAGGAGATGCTGCGACCGCCAGGCTGGGGAACATTTTCTAGACTTGTGCTTCAGGCCTCAACACTGGATTCCTACATTGCAGAGGACAGATTTCAACATCAACTTTATTTCTGTCACTCAGTCTTTTCCCTGTGTCCCCATATCAATGGATCATACCCTAGTCTGAAGTCTTTATAGATGTAAGAATTGAAATACTGAAGAGCTTCCTAGGAGAGGGATCAGGAACTTGAGAGCCAGGCTAAGTTGGGAGCAATTTCCAGTTTTGCCACCTAAGGGGCAGCGTACCCAACATTGTGTTTCACCTTCTGCTCTAAGTCTTTGATTCTCCATCTAAGGAGAGCATTCCCTATAAATTGGCGCGAGGCTTGGGGACACTGAACAGAGTCTCTGTAAGTGTGTGGTGGAGGGCAGCACTGTCTGAGCGCTATTTGTGAATGTTATTCCTACTGCTGTCACTACCTGGGTGCTTCTTCTTGCTTCAACACCCTTTCATTCATCAGACCGGGTCCTGGGCTACAAGGCCATCTGCCTGATGTCACACTGGACTGTTGAGCATGCCTTGCTCCTCACTCCGGTCCGTACATGCTGTCTGCTCTTCCATCTGAAGACCAGGTAGTTGTCTTAGGTTTTTATTTTATCTGTCACGGGACTCACCAGAAAGTGCTTGCCGAGGTCCTGCTGGAATAATTGCTCATGTGTCTGCGCCTCTACATGACAACTTGTTGAGGACCGGGGCGGCTCTGATCCCCCTCTGCAGGCCTTGAGGGGGGTGCAGCATGTGAAATGTGCTCCCCTGGGTTTGTGGGATTCTCTGGAGGGCTATGTTTACTCTGGCTGTAGCCACTTCCTCCACGTCTTTAAGGCTTCATTTGGCTTCCTGTTCTCCCTGTTCCTCATCCCAGGAGAGGACAGGGTTCAGAAGGCAGCACCCCCACTGCACACTGATGCTCCCGCTTCCCTGCTGGGCGGGTCCCACCGTGAGATGGGCTTCCCAGGTGTCAGGTGCATGTTGGTTGTATGAACATAGGAACTGGACTTGAGGTTTGTAGTGACAGCCATAATCATCATGATTTATATATTAAGGAACGGGAAGGAAGGAAGGAAGGAGGGAAGGAGGGAGGGAAGGAAGGAAGGAGGGAGGGAGGGAGGGAGGGAAGGAAGGAAGGAAGGAAGGAGGGAAGGAGGGAGGGAGGGAGAGAGGGAGGGAAGGAGGGAAGGAGGGAAGGAGGGAAGGAGGGAAGGAAGGAGGGAAGGAAGGAAGGAAGGAGGGAAGGAGGGAAGGAAGGAGGGAAGGAGGGAAGGAAGGAGGGAAGGAGGGAAGGAAGGAAGGAGGGAAGGAAGGAAGGAGGGAAGGAGGGAAGGAGGGAAGGAAGGAGGGAAGGAAGGAAGGAAGGAGGGAAGGAGGGAAGGAAGGAAGGAGGGAAGGAAGGAGGGAAGGAAGGAGGGAAGGAAGGAGGGAAGGAAGGAGGGAAGGAGGGAAGGAAGGAGGGAAGGAAGGAGGGAAGGAGGGAAGGAGGGAAGGAAGGAAGGAGGGAAGGAGGGAAGGAGGGAAGGAAGGAGGGAAGGAAGGAAGGAAGGAGGGAAGGAAGGAAGGAAGGAAGGAGGGAAGGAGGGAAGGAGGGAAGGAGGGAAGGAAGGAGGGAAGGAAGGAGGGAAGGAGGGAAGGAGGGAAGGAAGGAGGGAAGGAAGGAGGGAAGGAAGGAGGGAAGGAGGGAAGGAGGGAAGGAAGGAAGGAGGGAAGGAAGGAAGGAAGGAGGGAAGGAAGGAAGGAAGGAGGGAAGGAAGGAGGGAAGGAAGGAGGGAAGGAGGGAAGGAAGGAGGGAAGGAGGGAAGGAAGGAGGGAAGGAAGGAGGGAAGGAAGGAGGGAGGGAGGGAGGGTGGGAAAACAAGAAGGCTAGAAGGCAAACAAGAAGAACGTACCTTGTGATAAGTCCCTGGCCAGGCACTTTTACAAACCCCAGAGGGGTGACTTTTTAATTTGTTTTACTGTTGAGAATGACTTAGGATTACTGACTTCTCAAAGCCATCTATCTAGTAAGAGGAAGATGATAAAATACACCTCAGAGTCCCCAAAATATAATATAAAAGTAATAAAACAACCCTCCACCAAGCAAAAGACCGCCTGGCTGTACTGCTGAGCCCACACACCCTCTCAGCATGTACATCGCAACTCTGGGAAAAGCCTAACTTCATAATGGGTGACATTAAATGTTACTTACAGAACTGGTCATGAGCCTTAGTAAGAAGAGTCTCCAGGGTTGCTTTCCCAAGTATGTGGCTCTGATGTTAGACAATTCTTCAAATTCTATTTTCTCCCCTTCCTTTGATGTCTTAAGAGTTTTCTGCCTCCCAGGGTGGGGGCAGGGTGCATAGGCTGTTTGCTTCCTGCTGAAGTTACTGACATTTCTCCCTTCACTCTGCATGGGTTACATCTTTAGATGACAGCAGAAACGCATACAAATACATCTTTTTCACATGGTCAAAAAATGACTCTGTTGCCTCAGCAACAAACAAAATGGCCTGAAATGAATATGAATTAAGAATCACTAGGTTCTTTTGTTTTATTTTAATTTCATCAATTTGTTCTTTTTAGCTATACACAACAGTGGAATGTATTTTGACATATCATGCATACAGGGAGTATGACTTCCCATTTTTGTGGTTGTAGATGGTGTGGATTTTCATTGGTTGTGTATTCATATATAAACATAGGAAAGTGATATTGGATGGTTCCAAGGTTTTATGCTCATTGCTCACTGTTTTTAAAGCAATGAATCTGTGATAATAACTATATATGATCAGAGCACAGTGATAATTAGGTCAGTAATAACTTAGTAAATGAGGGTCCCACAATTCACAGTGCTTTATCTTCCACGTGGAGCTAGTTTGCTCTGGTCATCTCACCAGCTTGTCTCATACAATAACTTATTGTAATTGCATCAGTTCAGAAATATTTTTTTCAGAAATATCCAACTTAAAGTCATTCTGTCTTGCAATTTGCTGTTGTGGGCAAGATCACAGATTCTCGAAATCACCAGATAACATGGAAAAGGCTGGGTGAGTGTACAGAGGGGCTCATAATAGATGGAATTTTGAACAGTGGTGGTTGGTAAATGCTTCACATTTGGTCTCTGAACAAATACATCTAATTTTGTGGAAATGAAGTATATGTAGTGAGTAATCTATAAATAATACAATATACAGCACTCTTTACTGTATATTGCATGTAGGCCATTGTCTCTCACAGCACGCAATTCTTTATTTTTGCCCAACTCTTGTATCCATAGACAAAATATGGTTTCAATTGACAGATGAGTACTGTTCCAGAATGAATCTCAGTGGATATCTTCATTTATCTTAACAAGGAAGATGAAAGTGGAACAACAAAGAAGTATGTTTGAACTTCACTCATTTGTCAATGATGTGAGTGATTCCTTTCTGAATGGATAATTGTTCTCAAATGCTGGAAGAATATTTGCTTAATACTCACAGTGCTTAATGCTTATGCACAGTGTTTTGGCTACAGATATGACACACATTTACATTTAATCTGCATTAGCATTTTGTCCATAACATTCTTAAGCCTGAAAAATCAACAAAACAATAAATCAAACAGTGTATTATTCTATAGCATTTGCCAATTTCCATGGTGTAAATGTACAGATGGCTGATTTTAACCCATGAACATGAATCACCAAGTCCTGAGACTGAGTGACTATCAATAACACATCATTACATAGTATTTCTAAAATAAACATAGTGATTTCAAGTGCATAGATGATAGTAAAATAATTAGAAAGTAATAAGCTTCAAGCATTTAATACCTTTATTTTTGATATAATTTAATTGTAAGTTCATGTGATTTAATATTTAATATTAAGTCTGTTTAACAACTACTTTGCAAAATTCATGAATGTTTAACAATTGTCTCCTGAAAGCTGGTACAAACTTACCTTCAGCAAATCTCTGAATTTGGGGTTGAAGGGAGAAATTAGTTGATAATTTAGTGTATTTCAAAGCATCAATTTCAGATTTGATATTGTTTTTAAATCCAGATTTTAATTTGTTTAATTCTAAGGAAGAATTCTGTCTGTTATAGGCATTAAAGGAGATCCTACCCCCTACCTTAACTTTCAGCAGCAGCTTGGGATGCTGAGAGAGGAGGATCATGAGTTCAAAGTCAGCCTCAGCAATGGCAAGGTGCTAAGCAACTCAGTGAGACCCTGTCTCTAAATAAAATACAAAATAGGGCTGGGGATGTGGCTCAGTGGGCAAGTAGCCCTGAGCTGAATCCCCAGTATCAAAAACAACAACAACAACAACAACAAAACTTTCAGGAGACGCTTGGTTACTTAAACTTGACTAATGAGGAAATATGAATTTTTATGAAAAATCAAAGATTCAGGACTGAGGATGAGCTCAAAAAGGTAAGTATTTATTATAAATATTGAATAATTCATTCAAACAAGCTCCTAATATATTTCACTATTCAAACTAGTGATTTTTTTAACAATAATTTTCACATTAATTCTACAAAAAAAAATCAGAAGTTGAGGGAAAAGAAAGATTACCAACTCCTTCTAAGAGAATAGCCAGCAAAGACAGAAGGAAAAGTGGCCATCAAACAGCATCTCTCCTAAATACTGAGGCAAAGTGCTTAGCAAATGTCAATTAACATAACACAATTGAGGTACACCAAGACTGCAAGGTTGCTTGAACTTTTGGAAAGCAGTCTAACTCATCTTATTAACAGATTTTTAAAAATCATATCTTAGTTGATGCTAAAGAAGTATTTGACAAGATCCAGCATCCTCTTCTGATAAAAACCCTCACCAATTAGGGACAGAAAGGAGTTTTTCAACCTGAGAAAGGGTGACACTATAAAGCTCCAGGAAGCAGGACAGGTAATGGGGAAAGACTGGACCTATTCTCCTTCAGAGGGAGAACAAGGAAAGGGTGTTTGCTTTCACTAGTGTTATTGGAGTTTCTAGCCAGTGCAATAAGGAAAACAAATAAACAAAAATACCAGCTAGCATCCAAATTAGAAAGGAGGAAGTAAAACTGTCTTTATGTGTAAGATAACATAGTCATCCATGCAGAAAATTCAATAAATTCTGCATAAAAAGCTACTGGAAATAAGTCAGTTTAGCAAAATGGTAGGATATAAAGATATATCGTATTTCCAAAAACTAGCTATGGAAAATCACCAATTGAAATTTGAAATGCCAATTTCAGTTACTATAGCATTGAAGGATATAAAGAACTTGGGGAAAAGTCTTTGAAAAGATAGGTATGAAATGAATAATAAAAATAGCAAACAACACTCAGGCAGAAATTGCACGTCGAATCATTACCAAGAGAAATGAAGAGATACGCTGCATTCATGGAACAGGCTACTGTGTAAGATTCAGACTTCCCCCATATTGATCCTTAGGTTCAAAGAAATTCCAGTCAAGATGTCCTAAAGGTTTTTGTTTTGTTATGTTTTTCCAGAAATTGACAAGCAGACTTGACAGTTCAAGTAGAAACGCAAAGTACTTAGACGAGCCAAGCAAGTTGGAAAAAGAACAAAGCTATAGCAGTCAAGATAGTGTGTTGGGTTAACGCAGACAAACACCTCAAATTCACATAAAAGTCCAGAAGTAGAGCAACAGAGATATTCCCAACTAATTTTTGACAGAAATGCAAAGGCAATTCAGTGGAGGAATAATGATAAAGGAATTTTATATCCTTACGTAAAAAAGATACACTTGGATTCATACCTCACATGTATATAAAAGTCAGCTCAAAACATCACAGACATAAAGATAAAACTATACCCCTTGTAGAAGTATCCTGAGATAGAACCTTTGTAATTTGGAATTAGGCAAAGATTTCTTAGATACCTATCAAAAACATGATCCGTTAAAAATAAAGTTTAACTTGAACTTCATCAAAACTAATAACTTGTTCTTATACACTATTAAAATAAGGAAAAGATAAACTGAAGCCTGGGAAAAGTATTTACAAATAACATATTTGAGGTTTATAATATAATATATAACCAATAAAACCACAAACAACCCAATTTTTACAACTTGTCAAAGAGTTTGACCAAATACAATGGTTAACATATAGGGATTATAAATAAACACCTCAAAAATGCTGGACATATTTTCAGCTATTAAGGAAGTGAAAATTACCATCTCAATGAGAATACTGCTACACAATTTTAGGAATGCCTAAAAATTAAAAAGATGTAATATGCCAATTGCTGGTGTAAATATACCATATGGTGACTTTCCTATACTGTGATGAGCATGTAAAGTGGTTTGGCTATTTTGAAAATCCCTTTGACTGTTTCTAAAGTAATCTTTGACTTATCACGTGGCCTAGCCATTTCACTCCCAGGAAATAGGTCCTTAGAAAGACTTGTACATGAATATTCACCATGATGCTATTGTGTGGATCTACAGAATGTGCTGCTATGTGTCAGTAACAGGGTGTGAGCAGCAATAGGTATGCCCTACAATGTGGATGAACTGCAAAGTAATTGCACAAGTGAAAGAAGCTGTGCAAACATAACATATGATTCCATTTTATTATATTCTAGAAAATGTATACCTGTCTGTCATGATAGAAAACTGATCAGTGATTACCTGCTAATGGGTTGGGGCATGGGGTTACAAAGGGAATTTTCAAGGAACACTGAGAGACTTAGAAGTGATGGATACACTTAATATACAATTGTGTGCTATCGCATATACCACTTATACCACAATTGTGTTCTATTGCATGTACCCTTGAGTCCTATGCAGTTTATTATGTAAATTATGCCTTAGTAAAATCACTAAAATCAATAAGTAAGTAAATGAAGTCCAACACAAAACTGATCTCCAAGCAAATCTTCTTCACCTATCCAAAGGAAATTTTACCTTTTACCTCTGAGTGTCTCTAGCATCGATTATTTCTACTTCTCATACTTATTTTAACATCAAGTTTTGGGTTACGTAAGTCACTTCTGTTACTGTATTTGGTAAGAAATGTTTCTTGGGTAATTAGTAAATCAGGCTCTTTCTTATGCCATTCTGAGCCTATTTCTTCATTTATGCAATGGAAGCTTGAATGTGACCTATTTGAACAAATAAATGCCTATGAAGCTTTATTTTTTATTAAAAGCATAATGTTTGCTAGCCATTAGTGTGTCACTCCCTTGTCAAAGAGCTTCTGGCTTCCTCTTCTTTGTAGCCTCAAGTGCAGGTGTAGCCCACTGGGCCAGACACTGGGCAGTGTCTGCAGTGGGTTGATGGCACTTTGCTGACAGCCCCACCCACGTACACCAAGCAAAAGGGTTTCCATGCATTGCTTGAAGTTACCCTCAACAGAGACCGCCCCAGATCTGAGCAGTTTAAGCCCTCTGGGCCTTGGCACAATTTGTATCCCAGATTAATTAGTTAATGTTCATAAAGCACTTTGAAGATGGAAGCCTCTGAGAGTGTAAAGCACATGCATTAAGAATGATCATTATACGCATTTAAGTTCCGAATCCAGCAGTCCTAATTGGAAGGGGCCACCCAGTTGCTAACTTTCAGCAGGGCAGTGTCCTGGATGTGGAAATTCCCTTGAGAAGTGTTAGGAGCAGCTCTACCCAGGAGCTCCGGGGCCTCAAGGGCTCCAGAGAGCAGGTGGGCATGAGTCCCCCCTGAATCTCCCCATTGAAAAGAGTTCAGTACTGCTACTTGTGTGCCAGTGGGGTTGTTCAGTTTTCAATGAACATGTGCTGAGAACCTGCTCCCGGGGAAGCCCTTTCAATATCTGGTAAAGCTCAGTACCCTTCTCCCTGCCATCAGACCAGAAAGTTGAAGAGGGCCAGAGAAGTAGGTTCACCCCCCAGCCCGGGCAATCATCCAGTATGACTGTGGGAAAGGTTGTTAGAAGGGTATCTGGTGTAAGGGGCCCACTCCCTCCAGGTTTAAAATCAGTAAAAAGTGAAAGTGTTGATCTCAGAGTTATGCCTACCAAAAAATCCGGTAAGAAACTAATATGCCCTGGGTGCCCCACAAAGGGTGTGCTGTTTTGTTAGGAAAATAGGCCCCTGATTCCAGAGACCCAGTTCTTTTGTGCTACATCCATTCATGTGGGTTTTCGTTGCATTTGCAGTTATCTTTTCTTTTCTAGAGCTATCTCTTTTACCCCCAGGAATGTTCCCCCCGCCCCTCGCCCCAGTGGCTTTTATTAGAGGAAGGCAAAGGGATTCCGTTCGTTGTGTGTCTTCTCGGCTAGCTGCAGTTGTCAAGCCCCTCAATAGCTCATTGTCACTGACCTACTTAGCCCATGGAATATCCCACTTTGGGAATAAGCACGGTGTCTCTGAGTGCTTTGAACGCAAAAGTGCCATCAAATGCTTCTGAACCCTGGCACAGTGTCTTGGCCTCAAGCAAAGCAGTTAAAGGCCCGCATTTTAAACAACTCCCACTGGCTCCGTGCACGGTGCTGGGAGAACCTCCCAAGGGTGCCCTTCATCAAGTTGTGCCTAACGAACCTCCGTGGCAACCATCCGAAGCTGCGAACCGCACAGCCCTCCCCTCCTCGTTCTTCAAGGCCCTCTTCCTTGGTGGCCTTTCCGGAGCTCCAGGGCCCTCACCTTCACTGCTAAGCTCCATTTGAGAAAGCTCAGCATCGAGTCCTCTGCTGGCGCATCAGGAGAAAGCCCTTTGAAGATACAAGGAATGTGAGTCACTCATAATCGTCATGATTCATAAGCCAACTTCAGAGACCAGCTTCTCCTTAATACCCATTATCTCTTCAATAGACCGAGTTGGGCCAATAGTTAATTCGCAAATTGCAGGACTCAGTAAGGTGAGACACTAAAGACGGGGTAATTAATAAATGATTTTTTAAAAGACAGGTTGGGTCCATTCAATTCTCTAAATTTATTACACACATGAGACAATCTTTTTAATCCCCTCCTCCCTCAAGGCTAAAGAGGGTTAGTCATCCCTCCATCCGTGTCCTTCTCTCACCTGCTCCGTGGAACTCCAGGTCTGGATCACACGTACCTTATACTGCCAGGTCCCTGTGAGTCGTGTGTGTAGCTCCCACGGAAGCCTCATTAGACTCTTGCTTAGAAGACCCATAACTTGTGCCCTAATTCTATGCCTTTGAATCAGGTCTCACCCCTCCGCTTGGAGGTCAATCAAAATGAACCATAAAAGTCACTCACAGTAATTCCCCGGTCTCTCTGCGTTTTCTCAGCCACCTCTTCCTTCTGTCCATTCTAATGCTCATTTCTCTGCTCCTGGTTGTCTGGCATTTGCTGTGTGATGATACAGTGTGGTATGCACTGAACCTTGTCCTCCAAAAAATAGTCATTGAAGCCCTAACTCCCAGTACATCAGAATGTGACCGTATCTGGAAATAGGGCTGTTGCAGGTATAACTAGTTCACTTTGGTCACCGAGGAGTAGGGCAGGCTCTGTGTCTGAAGTGAGTGGTGTCCTTATCAGAAAACATCCATGTGGAGACACAGAGATGCACAGGAAGAGCCCCAGGAGAAAACAGGATGACAGTGATGGAACCACACACCGAGGGATGCCACGGGTTTCTAGCAAACCACGGAGGAGGCAAGGAAGGACGCCCTGCAGATTTCCCAAGAAGCATGGCCCCATGGCCCATGATTTCAGGTCCCCAGCCTCCAGGACTCTATGATAGTATATTTTCATTGTTTTCTGACATCCAGTTTGTGGTACTTTGTTCCAGCATCCCAAGCCTGCTGACACATAGGACAGTGGCGGAGAGGCTGGGTCAAGGAAGGGATAGTGCTGAGCAACAGAATCTAAATACTGATGGCATTTAAAATCTTCATTTTGTCATAGATGCACCTTGGAACCTGTCTCTTGGTACAGGATTAAATGTGATTTTATTGACAGAAATATGTTTATCCTCTGAACAAACACCTGTAGTACTTGACAGTTATCAAAGGTCCATAGTCCGCTGGGCATGGTGGTGCATGGTGGTGCATGGGTGTGATTCCAGAGGTTCAGGAGCCTGGGGGAGGAGGATGGAGAGTTCAAATCTAGCCTCAGCAACTTAGTGAAGTCCTAAGCAACTCGGTGAGACCCTGTCTCTAGGTAAAATATAAAAAAGGGATGGGGATGTGACTCAGTGGTTAAGTGTCCCTGGGTTCAATCTCTCGTACCAAAAAAAAAAAAAAATGGCCCACAGTTTATGAAGTACTGGTAAAAAACAAAGACTCCTGTGTCCTAAGACTCAAGAATATAGGTCATGCCAGGAGCATTTGTCTCAAAACTCTGGCTCTGGGACTCCCAGAATAAAGTCCTGGGAAGAGGTAATTGAGACATGAATTAGGTACAACAGCAGAATCATTGAAGTTAGCCCTGGTATACCCTCGCTCAGTCAAGAAGGCTGCCCGGAGAGGTGACTTGAGATCTAGGGATGATGAAGGAGGACAGCCCAGGCAATGGCTCCACTGGTATAAAAGCAGAAGCAGAGTGGACATCAGCAGGAGAGAATAGAGGATTAAAAGGAGTAGGAGAAAATCCAGTGGTGAGGTCACGGCATCTGCTCTGTCCCCAGCGTGGCTGACTTCCTTCCCCCTTCCTCGCTTCCTCTCTTCCCATTTTCTTCTCTCCTGTTTCAGTGACCTTCCCTCCCTTTTCCTTCCTTCCTTCAATATTAACCCAAAGGCCCTGACTGGCTGGGCACAGAGCCCCCTGGTGGGCTCGGGGATGAAGAAGGGCACCATTGTCTGTCCTGCAGGAGCTTGCAAACCTTGGAGCACGCTTGACAAATGTCCAGGAGGCAAAAACAGCACCTCTTCACAGGGACTATGAGCCGAGGCTTTGTGTACACATCCTCTCATTTAAGCATCAGTAACCTGAAGCAGTGGCTGTTGTTTTGCCTAATTTATACGTGAAGGGACGGAGGCTTAGCAAAGTGAAGAAACACCTCTGCTGGCGCAGCGGGTGGTGCAGACCCGGGCCTCCTTCCCTGTTTCCCTGAACTTTGGCTTGTGCTCTGTGAACTTGGCAGGAAGGACGACTTGGTCACCTGGAGCTTTCTTGGTCGCTTTGTGGTCATGGAGTCCCACCACAGGACACTGTTGGTGGCAGGGATGTCAAACCAGTCCTCCCTAAAGTTCTGTGGCTCCTCCTTTCCACAGGAAGAACCCGCTGCCCAGGAGACAGACACTTTGGACAGGCAGGGGCCCACGGGCGGGCCTTGGCTGACAGACGGGCCCTGTCCTGATCCAGCTAACAGGAGGCACACCAGCAAGCAGTGATGGCGGCTCTAGCTGAAAATACACACTAATCTAATCTTCTGGCTGTTCTAGATGAATCTCAGGAATGTGGGAGGCCAGCATGTCAGATAGGCAATTATTGGCCGGACACAGGCTTGCATAATGCTATGATGACTGGGGCTTCCTGCTTCAGCTCGAACGCAGACAGCTTGCCAGAAAGGATTTATCTTCCCAGGAGAAACATGCCAGCTTTGGGAGGATATGAAGTAACTGTGATTATGGGAAAAAAGACAGGCTTGATTTGAAAATAGCCAAGGTCTCTTAGTTTATAATCTGCATCTCTTTCCCTCTTTCCTATTTTTTTTTTTTTTTGGTCTCTTTTTTGCTTTTCTGTCTCTCCCTGTCACTTGGTTTTGCAGTGTCTGTCTTTTTTATCTTCCTTTTGTTTTGCTGTTATTTTTAAATTTTTATTTGCTTCCTTGAGCTTCTTTCAAATTTTCACACCAATTTAATGTTGGAGGAAAGGGCCTTTATTCATTGCCTATAAAAGAAGGCTCTGATTAAAAAGCAGAGTCTGTGGGGGGTTTGTGGGGGAGGGGTATTTTAGACTGAAGATAACTAGGAAGGATTCCACTTTTTTTAAATAGGAGACAACCTGGTGGATCTCTTTTGATAACCAAACAAGTGAACTGCCCAGGTACCTTCCTTTGATCCCAGGAGCCACACGATTGCTGTACTGGGGAACCCTGGCTGTCCTTTGGGCTCCTTTGAAATGTGATGACTCCTCAGAGTGGTTAAAGGGTTCAGAGAAAAAAATGGCTTCCTAAAACTAAAAGGAATATGGGAAGAATAGGAAGGGCTCTTACAGATATTTCTGTTTTGTTTCTTATTTTTTTCAGATAACAATAGTAAAATCCAAGGTAACATTTATCGAAATCTCAGTCACCAGCTCTGAGCTACACAGCTGCCTATTAGTCTGCTTGAACCGGAAGCTGACCAGTCTAACTCCTGGCCCAATTTTCTCTTCCTGTTAAATAAGATATTTTTGTACATGCACGACCACATGCACAGTGGCAGAGCCCGTGTCTAACATGTCAGGTCCTGGATTCCCTTCCCAACACCACACACACAGAATAGTAATGTAGCAGCTAAAACATAAAAGTGTACAAAACCCGAGAGGATTTGTATTTAATAGAGAAAGCTTTAGTAAGTATTTATTATTTTCTAGGAGGATCCTGTACCATAAAGAAAATGTAATAATGAAGATGGCAAAAAAGATAGACAGCAACACTTACAAATTGGTTAAATAAAGTTATAATTCTCATAAAGACATTCTTGGAATTGAAAGTGGTCAACATTAATTAGTGTTCTAAAAAATACACCTCATTCTCTCAAACAAATGCATGAGTGATTAACGGCTTACTGAAGATTTATTATTGGCCAGGCTCCATGATAGGTATAGGAAATCACTAACCTTCTACAACTTCTTGTCATCTTTTATTGTCTTATTTTTAGAGACAAGCATCAAGTTAGGAGACGGTAAATGACAAGGTGCAGGCAGCACAAGTTGACAGATCAATGTGAAACTCTAGTCTGCCTGATGCCCACGCCTCTTCTGTTTGTAACATATTCTCTCTCCATTATGGGCCAAGAGCTCCCCCAGACACAGGACTTTATTGCATTTTAGTAAAATAACTCCACTCAATGCCCTCTGAATTTTTGAGGGTATGAAAGAAATCCGGGTGAATTGGGTATCACTACAGCATAATTAACCAACACAATAGCCTTCCTATTAAAGGGCCATAACTACTATGTTCAAAGTCCTGATTTCACTTGCAAATAACATCTATTCTTCCAATACCCACCTGGGACAACTATCAAATGAAGGCTTCAGTGTAGCACAAGGTGAGTTCTGGGACGACAGGTGTCAACTTCCTCCCTGAATCTGGTTAGCATTCAACTCTAGCAGCAAAGCTTTGATTTTCTCAATGTGTCCTTTTAACATTGCACAAGTGTCCTGAATGTTAGATGAGCATTCGTCACCCATCATGGCGCTTTATTTTATTTTATCCTTAATGTATCTTTATGATAAACATTTTCGATCTCGATCTCCCTGCAGACTCTTGTCAATGGGCATTGCCCTTGCAGCAGAGGTCCAAGGCCATCCTGAGCTAGAACACAAGAATCTGAGCAAACCTACCCCGAGCTGAGGCTCCAGTGTTGGTCTGACACGGGAGCTGCCAATGTTGCTCACTTGTCACATCCACCCGGGCTAAGCCTCAGCACCTGGGGCTCACCACAGCTCCTTTCCTCCACTGTCCCCTCTTCTTTCTGTGCCCCTTTCCATTCTCCCTTTTCTTCCTCCTGTTTTTTCTATCACTTCAGGTCAGCACTGCTGTGACCAACATTTAAACTAAGTCCTTTAAGACAGAAAAATTGCCATCCAGAGTTCTGAAAACTTGCCCAAGGTCACAAGGCCAGACTGGGATGTGGGGGAAGAATTCAAACCCAGGCCTGCCTGCCTGCAGAGCCTAAAGTTTTATCACCATCTAAACACCCACCAGCCCCTTGGGGGCACTTCTGGTGCCCCACACCCACCTAGTACTGACGTTCCTTTAAACCACATCTTTGGTTGGGTGGGTACTGGTCTTCTCCTGCTGGGTTGTGACTCCCATGACCAGTGAAGCAGCCTTCCCCCATCTTACCCTACTTCAGCTTTCTAACCCTTCATTCCCTATTTCTATGGCTGAAGTCCCAAATGTCTTATGCCCAGAGTTCTCAGAGTGAATGTATTCTTGGGAAAGTTTCTACTAAAACAATATCAACCTTGAATTATTTCTAATAAATCTCTCTCCTCATAACAAATCTCCTCACTGAAAAATTACCTTCTTGAGTTGATTCCTGCCGATGTTAGCCATTCCAGCTCCATCCACCAAAGAGAACACCTGCAAACACCGAGTTGTGCCCACGACTTAGAGAAAACCCCTTTTCTAGTTCTTAACATGTTTTTATTTCAAACCCAGTTCCATTCAATTCTGGGAACCTGTTCTTCAACCACTGCTGATCCCTTTGGACTTGGCCCCTTGTCCTTGGTCTCAGAACTGACAGCACCTCTCTCCCTTGCTGTCCTATATGTCCCCTGACACTGGTCACCTTATTTCTGAGATGGACTGCCTAACTCCAGTCCAAGTCCTTCCTAGAAAGGCAGATTAGACAGGCTTGTTTGTTTGTTTGTTTTAATGGTAGGAAAAATAGAAAATATCTTATCTTGCCACCAACCAACAAATACCTCTCAAACCCTCTCACTCACATTTGCATCCAGGATCTGAGCTTCTACCAAACCACAAGTATCATAAACCACATAAAACAAATTTCAGAACTCCTAGTCCACCATTAAACAAAGCGACTGCACAAAAAAGAACAGTTTAAAGAAAAAGGTGGGTCCAGATGAATCCATGTGTACCTTCCAATCCTCTCTGACTTCACTGGTTTTCAAATAATTCATTCCACTCGTCCCCTCCATATGGAGATTCTGAGGAAGATATAAAAACCTCGTGGAGGCTGCACCTAAGAAGCTGGCTCTGAAAGCCCGGAGCCTAAACCCCATGGTGGTTGTGGGTAAGTCCAGAACCACAGCTGGTGTGGCAGGGGGCGTCCCAGGTGAAGCAGGAGGCCTGTCCTGGGGCCCTTGCTCTGACAATACCTTGCTGCACTGTCTTGAAAAATCCTTTGACCTTGGTGCTCCCAGAATTCTTATTTATAAAATGAGGGGTCTTCTCTAGGTCATTTCTAGGATCATGATGAGAAAGAGAAGCACAGTGGGGGGCCATGTGGCTCTGGGCTGGAGCAGGCCCTGTGTTAAAGACACCAGCAAGGGGATGCTCATGGGCCGATGGCATCAGGTGGTCCCCTCAGTGGAGGTATTGGGGACACTAAGTGGACACCTGTAAGTATCAGTTCCAGGGATTTTTCAGGGCTGTGGAGAGGAGGGCAGGCGTGTTGCTGGTTGGCTATGGCTGGTCCTCTGACTGCTCATGGTAGGAGAGAGGCCATCCTGTGAGGATATGCTTCCGCTCCTGCTACGAGTCTGCTGCTCCTAAAATGTTTACAGAGGCTGCAAGGAGTGAACCAAGTTATTAAAAGAGTAGCAATTAGGGTGGCCCATCCCAGCAATTTAAAGTTTCCTGTCTCAGGAAGCACGTGGGGGAGGGGTGGCCAGGGAAAGGGAGGGTGCATTCTTGTCCCCTGACTGGGCCTCCCCAGCATTCCTATTTCTCAAGGCAGACTCAGAAATAGGGGAGAAAGGTTGCCTCCTGCCGGGTCCTCTCCCTGCTCCCTGGAGGACTACCCAGCCTGCAGATGTTCCAGCAGCTTGTTGGGCCCCTCCTCAAAGAAGCACCTCCTGCTTCCTTCTTTTGGGGGGTCCTGGCTCAGCTTGTGAAGCCTTTTGGTGTCTTTCTTTCTCTTGCCTCCCAAAAGTAAGCTGTGCTACGCCAGCAGCCTGAGAAATCCATCCCTGTACCTTGGTGCCGAGGACTCCCAGAGAGAAGTTGTGTGGTGATTTACGGCTGCTGTCCATCCAAGAGGGCTCTTCCAAACACCAGCCCAGCCCCGGGAGTCCTCTCTGACAAAACGAGCATTTTGTGCCGTTGAAGTTGACAGCCAAGAGAGGAAGTGGGGTGCTTTGTCCCAGCTTGCTGGCCATCCTCCTCCAGCTGTTGGGATCTCCAAGTTCATTTCTTCCGTGCAACCTCAGCTCAAGCACCAGGTCCAGAGTGGTTTTCGTGAACGGCCTGCTGGAGACCGCCCAGGGCAAAGGAGACTTTCTTTTTCTGAATTTATGTTACACAATGCTGGGCAGGCCCTCTGACTTGTGGTCATGGTTTCCCAGAACCCCAAGGGGCCCATCCAAGAAAACGCCCATGTGTCCACGCCTTATCATCTGCGAGCTCCCGGGGGATTCTGTTTCCTTGATGGTGCTCCACAGTCTCCGCCAGTGGCCCAGAGCTCAGCTTGGGCCAAGTGATGTGGGAAGGAAGCCTTCCCAGTACACACCTCTGAATCCAGTTTTGGACTCAGCATGGAGCCAGTTAGCTTTAAATCTGCCTCTCTAAATTGAGAATAAGAAGCCCTTCCTTGACAAATTGTTTTTTCACTTAAACGTGGTTGGCCCAAAGTAGATAAAAGGGTAAATGCAGTACAATGTGTTTCAAAGATATCTTATTTCTTGTTTTCTGGTTTATGCATTTCTTTTTTTTTTCTACCTGCTAAAAACCTTTTTAGCCTTCTATTCTTATAGGAACCCCAAAGAATGCTTAAAAAGTGTAAGAATTATAAATTTAGAATAGATTTGCTAAAAATAACTTTCTAAGACTAGATTTGAGTGGACACTTTCAGGTATGTGAATCGTGAAGTTAAGAGAGATGCCCTTAGCACTAGAAATTTGCTACAGGAGGGAAAATGGTTTTTTTACGTAGAGAAAACATAGGTTTTTTGTTTTATTTTGTTTTAGGGGCGAAGTCTCCTTGAGAAGATTTAATGCTTATGGACAAATGGCAGATCATTTCAAAGAGCAGGGAAAAAACAGTGCTTACTTTTACTTTCCAACCATGAGTCTCTCTCCCTTTGGAGGAAACCAGGAACATTGTTTCCTTTAGGAAATATGCTACATTTATTCTGAAATTGTAGATCTCCTGCCGCCTACTCTAAAGTTTCTTGCAATTTGTGTTCATGCTAATACTGCAAGAGAAAAGAAGCAAGCTGGGTTCTATTAACAGGAAATGGAAATTTATCCCCTTTCCTTTGTTTCTCCTCCTCCTCCTCCTCCTCCTCCTCCTCCTCCTCCTCCTTTTCCCCTGTGTCTGTGATTGGTTAAGAACAACCCAAGTATGCCTCATCTCTTGGCTAAATGTTAAACCTCATCCCAGAGATTCTCCGGGATTCTATGTCTCTTGATATTATTTAGAAGTTTTGTTTGAAAGAGCACGGAAGAGGTAAATTGTTTATTATTATGGTCTTCTTCCATCTTTCCAGACCATGGGGGCCCCGCCTTCTCTTCTCCGCACCTTCATGTGCACACATGGTTACACAAGCATGCACATTCCTGGTCAAGGGCTTAGGGATGTTTTTTTCCTTTTCTTAGAAGAACATCGATATTTCAGTGAGGATTGCTAGGGTTAGTGTCAGCATTTGAACAATAGTAATTCTTCCAGTCCTTGATGGTGTTAGCTATAGGTTTGTCATGTCTGACCTTTCTAGTATTAAAGCTCTTTACCTCTGCACCTAATATGTTGAGAATTTTTATCAAAAAGGGATGTTGGTGCCATATGATTCAGAAATCTTCTACTGGATAAATATTTAAAGGATATGAAGTTAGTATGTTAAAGAGACATCTGCATTCCTGTGTTTCTTGTAGCCCTGTTTCTAATAGCCAAGATATGGAATCAACCTGCATGTTTATTGGCAGATCAATGGGTGAAGGAAACGTGCTACATACACATAAAGGAGTACTATTCAACCATAAAATAATGAAATCCTATCATTCAGCAACACAGGTGACCTTGGAGGACATTATTCTAAGTGAAATAAGATAGACCAAGAAAGATAAGTATTAAATGATCCTACTCATATGCTGAGTCCTGAAAAATTAAATTCATAGAAGTTAAAAGCAGAATAGTTAATACTAGAGGCCTGGGAGGAGAGTGGAGTGGTGGAAGGATAGGGAGAAGTTGATTGATAATACGATATTACAGCTAGGAGGATTAAATTATAGTCTTCTGTAATTTAGTAGGGTGACTATAACTAATAGTAATATATACTTCAAAATATCTAGCAAAGACACTTTTGAATGTTTCTACAATAAATAAATGATAAATGTGTAAGGTGATGGTTATGCTGGCTACCTTGTTTGGCCATTATACAGTGCATTCCTGCTTCAGAACATCACACAGAACTCCAAAAATATATGTAGGTAACAGAGGCTTTTTAGTCCAAATAGCTTTTCTTTTTTTTGTCAGCCCACAGGCTTTTAAGCCGAATTTACACTTCTAGCAGCCATCTCCTCAGACTTGATTGAAGTGGAGGGAGACAGCTAAATGCTTTGCTACATTTTCTTATCTGACAAACCAGGCTTCCTATAAAAAGGAAAAGGATTGATTTAGCTATTCTGGGTCTCTTATTTTTCCAGATGAATTTTATGATTGCTTTTTCTTGGAATTTTGATTGGAATTGCATTAAATCTGTATAGTGCTTTTGGAAGTATGGTCATTTTGAAAATATTAATTCTGCCTATCCAAGAGCAAGGTAGATCTTTCCATCTTCCAAGGGCTTCTTTGATTTCTTTCCTTAGGGTTCTGTAATTTTCATTATTATATCTTTCACTGCTTTTGTTAAGTTGATTCCCAAGTATTTTTTTAAGACCCAGAATAGCTAAAGCAATCCTTAGCAGGAAGAGTGAAGCAGGTGGCATCACTATACCAGACCTTAAACTATACATAGAGCAATAGTAACAAAAACAGCATGGTATTGGCACCAAAACAGACTGGTAGACCAATGGTACAGAACAGAGGACACAGAGACTAACCCACAAAACTACAATTATCTTATATTAGACAAAGGTGCCAAGAGCATGCATTGGAGAAAAGATAGGCTCTTCGACAAATGGTGCTGGGAAAACTGGAAATCCATATGCAACAAAGTAAAATTAAACCCCTATCTCTCACCATGCACAAAACTCAAATCAAAATGGATCAGGATTTAAGAATAAAACCAGAGACACTGCGTCTAATAGAAGAAAAAGTAGGCCCTAATCTCCATCATGTGGGATTAGGCCCCAACTTCCTTAATAAGACTCCTGTGGCACAAGAATTAAAATCAAGAATTAATAAATGGGATGGACTGAAACTAAAAATTTTCTTCTCAGCAAAAGAAAAAATCTGTTGGGTGAATAGAAAACCTACATCTTGGAAGCAAATCTTTACCCCTCACACTAATCTCTATGGTATATGGAGAACTCAAAAAGCTAAGCAACAATAAAACAAATAACCCAATCAATAAATGGGCCACAGAACTGAACAGGCACTTCTCAGAAGACGGTACAAATCAATCAACAAATATATGAAAAAATGTTCATCATCATTAGCAATTAGAGAAACGCAAATCAAGACCACTCTAAGATTTCATCTCACTCCAGTCAGGATGGCAGCTATTAAGTATACAAATAACAATAAGTGTTGGCGGGGATGTGGGGAAAAAGGTACACTCATACACTGCTGGTGGGACTGCAAATTGGTGCAGCCAATATGGAAAGAGTATGGAGATTTCTTGGAAAATTGGGAATGGAACCACCATTTGACCCAGCTGTCCCTCTCCTCGATCTATATCCAAAGGACTTAAAAACGGCAAACTACAGGGACACAGCCATATCAATGTTTATAGCAGCACAATTCATAATAGCTAAACTGTGGAACCAAACTAGTTGCCCTTCAGTAGATGAATGGATAAAGAAAATGTGGTATATATACACAATGGAATATTATTCAGCAATAAAAGAGAATAAAATCATGGCATTTGCAGGTAAATGGATGGAGAAGATAATGCTAAGTAAAGTTAGCCAATCCCCAAAAAAACAAATGCTGAATGTTTTCTCTGATATAAGGAAACTGACTCATAGTGGGATAGTGAGAGGGAGCATGGGAGGCATAGACAAACTCTAGATAGGGCAGAGGGGTTGAAAGGGAAGGGAGGGGGCATGGGGTTATTAATGATGGTGGAATGTGATGATCATTATTATCCAAAGTACAGGTATGAAGACAAGAATTAGTGTGAATATACTTTGTATACAACCAGAGATATGAAAAACTGTGCTCTATATGTGTAATAAAGATTGTAATGCATTCCACTGTCATATATAAATAAAAAATAAAATAAAATAAAAAGGAAAGTCTAACTGTGGATTCTTTTGTAGTTTTTAATGTTTTTCAACCGTTGGGGAGCAGTTAATTTCCTACTCCTTCTAACCTTTTATCTTACTCAGAATTAAAATTCAGTTCTAATCTTTATGTACTTAATAGTGTGTCTGGGTGGCTAGACCTCAACACTCAATCTGTGAGCCGGAATAAACTTTTTTTATTTATAAAGCATAAAGCTTCAGGTATTTTGATAGAGCAACATCAAATGGACTAATCAATTCAAGTAAAGAAAAACCAATGTTGGTAGATATATATTTCACAAATGGAGCAGTTGAAATGATATGCCTTTGAAACATTTACTTAAACTTCAGACCCCTATTTTATTTATTTATTTATTTATTTTTGCCAGAGAAATAGACATACTTCCTTCACTTGCTGAGTTGAAGAACAGAATACTGCGTATAAGTTGCCCAGTGCAGCAAGTACAAAGTAGATATTCAAAAACTGGTAGTTTAGCATTTCAATTTTTACCACTGCAATTTAAAAATGTTAACAGCACTAGTGGTATACTAGGGTTTAACTTTGATGTTTATAGCCATTGCATAAATATGCTGCTGATCTGAAATTGGTATATACATCTGGGTGTGTACCACTGTTGATTCACAGGCTGTTGGCAAGAACAGGAAGGAGGTTGAGATGTCATTTATAGAGCACCACTGTATAATGCATTATGCACTCAGTTCTTAGATTAACTTCATCAAGTATCTGTTGTAATCTCCATTTGACTGATAACTATTGATAACTCTTAGCGCCCTGAGTTCCAGGGCTCCCTAATGAGCATCTAGGGCAGAGCACACCACTCGGGGCACATCAGACATTCAGTGAAATCTGTGCTGAGGGAATGCTTGCATCCATTTTCTCCAGTAACTAACAGGCTGCAAAGCACATGGGCCACACCTCTGCAGCT